TTAAATGAAAATGTTTTGTAATCGAGCGCCGGAAATTCGCGGATTTTCGACAGAAAAACTTCAAGGCCCATTCACAATGGAAACAAACATTAGCACGGCGTTAACATAAATATTAGCTTCAAAGACATCTTGAAATACTGTTGTTGGTACACGAGCCGCCAAATTAATTCAAATTTGGCCCCACACTTCGAACAGCTCAGTTTCGCTAGTCTTTGAAGGCATTTAAGAAAAGATTATACAATTCAAACTTCCCGCCTTCGAGATTTTGCGCTAATTTTGTTCAAAAACCGCGCGAATTCCTTCCCAATTGACCACATACTCATTTTTGTACAAAGAAGTCGACTTTCAACTGCTCCGAAAAATCATTAATAGGTTGCACCACCTCCTGGGCGGCCACGACGAAAGATTTGCTTATAGTCAGATTTCCCCGAATCCAATTTTTTCCACATCAGACCCGACGAGCTCGCATTGTTTGAAAATCAGAGGAGCAGCGACCATTTCTGTGCCGCTCGTGCCAAGAAGCTACGCAATAAGCGTATGGGGCGCATTGAAAGTTGGTGGTACGTTGGCAGCAAGCAATTATCGTGTAGTTTCTTTGAACCAGCTCTCGAAGACGCGGAAGCGAAAACGCAAAAAGCATGAACGACGTAAAATTCGTAAGGAGAACGTTTATTTCCGTCCAGACAGAGGTAACCACGACCATCTCTTCAATAGTCATTGATTCTTACGACAAAGTAATAATCTTTGCCAATTATGTGTCGCTTTTTTCTCTCTCCCAATCCATCTAAGCAATATTTCGCAGCTTCAACAAAGGTCATGTACAATGTTTCGAAAATATGAGTAGTTTTGCGTAAAATATACACTATTTTTTAGTTTTTTAAAAGATTGTTTCTTCTTCTTCATCAAAAAACAGCTTCAAATTTTTCTTTAAATTTTCGACCTTTATGTGGAAGGTAAAAAGTTGGCGCAAGTCCCATTTCCGGTACTCACAATATTTTGCAAAAGTGCAAAAAACTGTAATTGCAAAACAAATTTGAAATAGATTTTTGTCTTCAGCCAAAAATTCTTTAGAAAAATGTACTGTTCAATTTTTTAATAAAACTAGTCGTTTTCGCGCAATTTCTGCTTGAAGTTAATGAAAATAATTGAATATTTTCTCAAAACCGCTCCAATTTATTCTTTAACTTTTCTTTTCACGGACAGAACAAGGGACGCTTAAAGAAACAGCGCACATCTCATTTTCGTTCAACTCTCTGAATTTTCGAAAATCCACCGCTGTAGCCATTGCACCCCCAACGCTGCAATCATTGTACGAAGAGACCCGGACTGCTGCCAATGTGGTCTGGCCTCCGCTCACGTGAGCAATATTTGTAAAGCTATATATATATTTTTTTTTTAATAGCTCGATATTGACAGGATACGTACACAACTCTTGGCAGCCTCGATTGATTCCGTTCCGGGCGCGTTAACTACTAAGGTTATTGGTACCGTAAGTATAGTGCATATTTTTATCGCGGAGGTAGCGGTGATCCTCTGCTTGATAGCGAGATCTGGCGCCGACCTTCGTCGGCTTGCGGAGTTTTCCCCAACAAGGTTATCATGTGTATATGTGTGTACGTATGAGTGAGGATAAGACAAAGAGGAGGAAGCAAAGATGGCGCGCGATCCGTGACCCGTTGTTAGAATACTTCTCTGGCATCCGTCTGGTGTTGAACGGTGAAACTAAGGAAAACTACAGATCAGAGCAGCCGGCCGCTAGAAATTACTTCCAGACAGCAGGCTGAATTCGAGCCAGCTGTCTAGTTAGTGTCAAAAATCCTGCCACGGTCGGGAATCGAACCCTACGACCTCACGATCAGAGGCACTGCAGTGACATCAATTGATGATCTGAGCCACCTAGACCAGTTGGTCAAGGACCTCAATCCCCCAACCCAATTTGCCTCAAGGTTCGCTGCTATCCCCATGGAAGGTCCAGCGCCTACTTGGGGCGGTATCGCTCACGTCGAGAATGCATGATTTCGAGGATTCCCCCAGAGGAAAAAAGTGATTTTTATCACTATGTCTACATGTGTCACATATCATGGATATCGAGGATATTAGAAGCTCCAACATACAAGTAAATTACAAGTAAGATGTTATTGTGTGCGATTTCGAAGTTCTTTAACATATTTAAATTTTGGGTGGTATTTCACACCCGTACACTATATTTAAAAAAATATAATTAGATGAAAGTCAAATTTTCATTAAAAGATCTGAATGTTCTAAACTTGCAATAGTTTCATTCCGTTTTTTAACCTGTCCCTCACCTTTATTAAAGCTAGAGATTTCACTCTTAACGGATTAATGTTTTTCAAAATTAGACATTTAAATAATTTTATGAGCATTTCTTTGAATAGTAGTTGCTTCACTAAAATTTTCAAAAAATTTTAATTTTTCATATTACAAATGTGTAATAATCTTGTTTTAACAACTCACATTGCCCAAATTTGCATTACTTGTGTAATTTATGCTTCAATGCATTTGTTAACTCAAATAACCTCCCAAGAGGTTTCTCAAAATCTCAAAAGTGTCTAAATGTAAATGATAAAACCCTTGAAACAATATTTTGCAACATTGTCTTCAAATTTCTCCCAAAAATTTGCTACGAAAAGAGGTTTTGCTCTTCGTTGATATCAAGAAAGCCTCATTTCAATTAGACTAGTATTACGGGACAGAAAAAATAGAGAAAAATGTATGTTTTGATAAAACAATAACTACAATATAAAATTACTGGAAATAAATCTTACAATTGTAATATAAGATTCTACCTGATGAGACAATCTAATAACTGGTATCAGAACATTTATTTATCACTATTTCAAAATGAATAAATAAAAGTACATTCACTAATTTTTAAATTTATGATCTGAAATTAAATGGAATAGTATCTTAGCAAGATAGTACACTGAAGAGCCAAAAAACTGGCACAGCCATGTGTATTGAAATAAAGAGATCTGGAACCAATCAGAATACGGCACTCCCGTCGGCACGACTATACAAGACAACCAGGGTCTGGCACAGCTGTTAGATCAGTTACTGCTGCTAGAATGGCACGTTATCACGATTTAAGTGAGTTTGAACGTGATGTTATAGTCTGCGCTAGAGAGATGGGGCATAGCATCTCCGAGGTCGATGAAATTTGGATTTTCCTGTACGACTATTTCCCACCATGTCATGGAATCTAGTAAAACATCAAACTTCGGGCATCGCTGCGGCCGTAAAAATATCGCGCCAGAACGGGACCGTCGATGACCGAGGAGAATCATGTGACAGAAGAGCAACCCTTTTGCATATTGCTGCAATTTCAATGCTGGGCCATCAACAAGTGTCAGCGTGCGTCGGAGCCGAAAACCTACTCGTGAACCCTTGAGGACTGCACGACACAAAGCTTTACGCCTCGCCTGGGCCCGCCACCGATATGGGACTGTTGACGACTGGAAACACGTTCCCTGGTCTGACGAGTCTCTTTTCATATTGTTTCGAGCGGATGGACGTGTACGAGTATGGCGACAACCTCATGAATCCATGTATGTCAACAGGGGACTGTTCAAATTGGTGGAGGCTCTGCGATGGTATGGGGCGTGTGTAGTTGGAGTGATATGGGACCCTGATACGTCTAGTTACGACTCTGACAGGTGACACGTCCGTAAGCATCCTGTCTGCCCATTTATGTCTATTGTGCATCCCGACGGACGTGGGCAATGAGAGCAGGTCAATACGACAGCCCACACGTCTAGAATTGCAACAGAGTGGCTCGAGGAACACTCTTCTGAATTTAAACACTTCCACTGGTCACCAAAATCCTCAGACAAGAACATTACTGAGCATATCTGGGATGCATTGCAGCGTGTTGTTCATAAGATATTTCCACTCCCTCTACTCGTACGAGTTTATAAGGTAAATTTATTTAAACTGCAATTGGGTATAAGATAAGTCGTTCATTTACTTAATAAGACCCAAAATTAATTTCCTAAACTGTTGAACGCTGCGAGGACAGTTCACGGACAGCCCAGTAGGATTCGTGGTGTCAATTACCTCCAGCATCAATACAGACATTAGTCGAGTCCATGCCACGTCGTGTTGCAGCACTTCTGCGTGCTCGCAGGGCTCCTTACACGATATTAGGTAGGTGAACCAGTTTTTTTGGCTCTTCAGAATATTTAAGACTATAAAAGTGTCTTAAGTGAGAAGATATATTATTATATTCTACATTTTCTGTAGGATCAGTTAATTTTGAGAAATTTGTTTACGAGTTGGAGGATGAAAATTTTAACGGTCTGATCAACCACCATTAAGTCCATGCCTCGCTCTGAGAATGACTTCAATTTCAAAAACTGAAGAATTTCTATATTCTAATAATTTCCTAATAACGAACAAGGTCAAGGAAACTTAGTGGTTTCTGGACAGCCAAGAGAATCCCTCTAATACATGGGATCACTGCAGGCAGAATTACAAGTTGCTGAAGGGACATTGAATCAAGATTTGCATTTAAAAGTAGATCAAACTACTCATTAAATTTTGTTTCATGTACATAACTTGCTAAATGTCTATATGAAATATTTCAAGACTTACAATGGATATGGACAATGAGTTTATGGAGAAAAAGCGATAATACCTGAAAGGTACATATTTTTATGAAGCAATTTGATGATTATGAAGCAAGCTGATGAACGAAAGTCCAACTAAGCAGAATAAAGAAACTTCTGAACTTTTCAATGGATTTCATACTATTTGAAAATTAAGAGTAGAACTATTCTAAATAAAAAGTAGAACTTTGTATACAGAGTAGACTTAATTAAAAAAAAAAAAAAAAAAAAAAGAATTTACTAACCCCAACTTTGAAAATCCCACTTGAGCTTCATGTAAAAATCACCCATCTGGTTAAGAGCATTCACTAGATTAGGTCTTCTTTCTTCCATTTGTTCTCGTGCTTGTTCCTTCAGTTTCCGTACAAGCGATGAAACTGAAATAAATACATTTAATTCATAAAATCATGAGAAAAAATTCAATAGTTGCACAAAAACACAATGTTAATAATAATGAAGAAAGTTTACAGCCATTTTACCCACTATTAAGACGTAATACAGCTGAGAATTTAGTTAAGAGAAATCCACAATAGAAAATGAAATACGTCAAAATAATAACTCAAAGAATATTGATAACTTCTCAAATTTGAAATAAAAAGCCTTTACACCAATGACAATACTTGAGATTCAATTGCATTAACTGATATGGGTAAGTCTGAAATTCGGTTACCTAAAGGGATTATCCAGTTAATTCACATATTAACCAAGCAGTTTGGATAAAGTTGCAAGAGTGACCATCAACGGACAATTTCGGACTTCTAAAATTGAAAAGCAGCTTCATCCGGCTATGAATTGAAAAACGTTATAATAATAAGGAAAAGGAAAGGAGTTCCTTATAAGTGACGACCATCAATGGCCTTTAGTGTTCCACGACGGACACGAACTTTGTTGGGAAATGAGGGTTAGGTGGGGGTCAAATAGGCAAATGATGGAGGGCAGGTGGGGTTGTGGTTTTGATTGATTAGTGACTCCATAACCCGTCAATTGCTACGGTCATTAGTCCTATACGTGTCCCGTGTTTTACCGCGGGAGGCCGGTGGCCTTCCACTGCTGGAAGGCGAGGGCCGGTACCGATCAACGTCGGCTGGCGGGGATTTCTCCAACCAGGTATCTCCCAACAGCGTGGCACCGCTCCAGGCGGGACAAGCTCGAAGTTTCCAACAGGTCCTTCGAAATGTGTGATGGTATAGTGTATGTGAGAGTATGCGTGTGTAAGGGATGAGGAAAGGATAAGGAAGAGGAAAGAGATCGTGCGTGGTCCGTAGCCCGTTTCTTTTTGATACTGCTTCGGCTTTCGCCTTGTGTTGACAGGAGAAATGACGGAAAACTACCGATCAGAGCAGCCGGCCGCTACAATTCTCCAGAGAACGGCTGAACTCGACCTAGCTATCTAGTTGGTGTCCAAAATACTGCCCCCGTGGGAACTCCAATCGTAGGACCTACCAGTCAGAAACACTGCAGTAACATCAGTTGATGCCCTGAGCCACTTTTGCCGGTGAGAAAAAAAACCGGAAAACTACCGAACAGAGCAGCTAACATTCTCCTCCAGACAGCGGCTGAATGCAACGACGCTGTCTAGCTAGTGTCGAAAATCCTGCCTGCATTGGGATTCGAACCCTAGGACCTTTCGGTCAGAGGCACTGCAGTGACATCAGTTGATGACCTCTGCCGGTGTGGGACGTGGGAGACACAAAGGGAAATGAAGGGGCAGATGACATGCGGAGACGGATGGGGCCTTAATTGTTTCTTCAGCAGAAGTATAGAAAATGTCATTTCTTGTAACTTCTTCCACATATTAGGGAGCCTTGGTTATGATGCTTCCATTCTATAGTGTTCCTATTTTGCTGAAACGCACAATTCTGTCGCTGGACATCCAAAGTTAGGTTTCAACTACGACTTTTTTTCACTTTTCACTGGGCCCAGCAACTCGAATATTAATTACAGAATTATCCAGTTTTATTTTGCAAGCGCGCACTCGCATCCCCACACATACACGCAAGCCCACGCCCGAGAGAGAGAGAGAAAAGGAGAACGAGGGACAGCGCGCGAGGGAGAGCGAGAGCGCGCGAGACGTAATGAATGACTCCGACGTTGCTCGTTTATTAAATAAATCAGCAATTTTTACTGTTGATATTTATAAATTGCAATTTTTGTAATATCGGTTGGGCAAGAAAACAGGTCATGTACTTGATTCAAAGTCTAGAGTTCCTCACAGACATGTGAATAATTTTAGTTGTCCTTTGAACGAATCGTTTACCTAAGAATTGATTTTACTTTCACGCAACAGCTTACGAGGTTTAGACAGTTATGTTATACTGGAGAGGGGATAAGCGAATTTTTGACCCCAAAAAATTAATGCCAGGACCTGGTAACGAAAAAGTGGATTAATCCAGTTAAATATAGAAAAAATGTCTCTAACATGTGGTGTAGCCAGAATCCAAATGTTGTGGGTGCTTGATACAGTAAAATCGATTGACGGCAAAACGTGTACGTGTGTGTGTGAACGTTAGCGTCTAAATTGTTTAGCTCATTTTCTCCAAAATTGATATTCTCCAATCGATCTGGCTGCTGTCGCGGCCCATTGAATTTGAAACCGATATCTTAATTTAGGGGGGGGGGTAATTAACGTGAAACCCCTACGACATTTTGAAAAAAAAATGGCACCAAATTCTTTGATTAAATTTTGATGTCGGACAGCATAATAGACGATTCACAGAAATGTGCTGGTCTTATGTTCGTTGAAAACCTTGACTTTTCGAAAATTAGAGAATATAGTGGCTGACAGCTCTGATCGGTAGTTTTCTGAGGTTTCTCCGACCAACACCTCGCGAATTCTGAAGCAGCACCCTAACAAACGGGGCAAACACTACGCGCGATCTTTCCTTCCTCTTCCTTGTCATATTCTCACCGTTTATGCACACACACTAGCATGCAGTACACTACCATACATGCCGGGAGACCGACCCAGCTGGTGGAGATACCTAGTTGTTATAGAAGTTCAAAAAGTAGTAAAAGTGAATCATGACACTCCTGGAGATGCATGAAGGGTGGGACCAAAATGTTTCCCAAAGATGTGCAAGGTAAAAAGTGAGGAATTGTAATAATATAACTAATCACGACAGGGAATGTTTTCAAAACAATGAAGAACTTTGTCCTGGGACTAGAGAAAAGTATATATTAACAGTCTGGAGACTGCTATACCAACAAAAAGACCCACTAATCCAAAAGAGTCCAGAATGAAGGATACATCGGCGTATCACTTAAGAATAGGGAGCCCAAAGCTGTAAGCAGGCAAAAAAATTTTTTTAAACCCTCTAGAAATAAAAGACTGGGCGGTGAGGTACTAGATTGAACAATCTGAACATGGTATGTCCCCAAGTGCAGAAGTTGTGCCAAAAAGACAAAAACATGGAGGGAAAAACATTGCCCAAAAAGTTTTTGAATAGTCTTTCTAAATTGTCACACTATTGTAGAATAAGTTCTTTGAAACCTTGAACATATTGTGCTGTTTAAATTATAACTTTAAGAAGTGTGAGGAAAAGAAACGTGAAAGTATCAGTCATGATACAATTAATAAGATTTTCCAGGGAAGTAACCTAAGAAAGATCCTACATGCCTAAGAAAGATCAATATGACATATGCTGCAGTCCTACTGCAGGGAATTTGAAAAGAGATTGTTACAAAAACCATATTAAAATGAAGAAAAGAGCCTGTGAAGAAAAAGAGAAGGATAAGGAAGACATTAGAAGGAAGATAATCACAGTCTGCAAGCTGACAAAGTCACTCCATGTATTCAGGCAAGCAACTTGTATTATTAGCTGAGTGCATAATTTCAGATCCTCTATATTTGCCTCACATGTTGTCAACACACTTCAGAAAGAAATTCAAGAAAAACCCTTGCCCATAACTATGTACTCAGATGGCTGCAATTATCAAAACAGGGATGTTTCCTGTCTGATGCTTTCAGCTTGCGATCAATACAGGGGTAGTGATACCCCAAAATATTTAGAGAAAGTGCACACACAAAGAACGGGATTGGGATTCGGTGCATAGTGACAATGAATGCTAACTTAAGGATCGAGAAATAACGCTCCCTGGGCAGTATGCCTTTTCACAAAAGAAGCAAATGAAAACTTTACTAAAAAGCCTCTTCTTTATGACATCATTACTGCTTTACAAAATATTCAATTAAAGAGCTTTGGTATATAGATTTGATTCATACTGGTGATCCAACTATAAATGAATTCAGAGCATTACAATATCATTTCTAAAGGTTTAAATTTCTACAAATTGCCCTTCAATGAAGAAGGGCTGGAAATTCCTCATCATCACCAAAGAAATTTAAACCGTGAAGTATTGTTTCCTAAAGTGTACAAAGAAAAATTTAAAAAAATAATTCCAAATGGCATCATTTCAACAGCTTAAGCAAGTCCTTCCTAATAACTGCCATAATTTCTTAGACAAAATTCTCCATGAATGGGTTATGTGTATTTAGATTAATTAATACACTAATAGATGTGTGTGACAACAGCACATACTTTCTTGAATTATTTGTTTCAGTCATACAATATAATACTACATTGTGTTTCTACAACAAACTACTACTACAACAAAAGTGCCCTCACAACAAAAATGTATTTTCCAAGCTGGAATTCTAACTCAGGTTCTTCGATTTAGCATGTCTTCGTGTTACCAGCCTCACAGGTCCAAACACTATAAAAACAAAGTTGAACATTTGTAATTGCAATTTTCAAAATATTCAGAGACTTTTACGGACATTATTTCAAGATCGTGTCTTAAAGAAGAGATTTCCAAACCATTCGCAACTTAATTCAATGCTTGAAATACACAAAAATTAATATTTCGACAGTCTAAGGTTGTTTAAGTTTGTTTGTTCCTTATCAAAACTTGTCTGTGAATGACTGTTCACATTTTGTACCTAGGATTGCACAAACACACATTTTATGAATCATTAACAAGACATGAGGTTCATGACAATCCACTATTGAAAACTACGGATTTTATTCACACATTCAATCATGGCATAAAGAGAACCTCATTTAGAACCTATATCATGTAAAAAAATTTATGTTAAGAAAAAAATTTGAAAAATTATGTGGTAGTGTGTTCAGTAGAAACACTTCTATAGGAAAACCATTTGCTTGTATTAAGACACATGATATTTTTCAAAATACTTTGCCACAAATAAAGAAATGGCAATGTTTGACCCATTAAACTAAATTCTTTCTTTCTCACTTACTGCTTACACAGTATAGAGAAAGTATTGTAATGTTGCAGAACGCTCAGTGATTTTTCAACTGAGAAACTCTAATTTCCAGGCCCTTGTGACAAAAAAGTGAATAAATCTTCTTTCTATATATAGTAAATTAATTCCTCTAACACATTGTGAAATCAGGATCTATAGTTTTTGAGTCCTGCATACTGAAAAGTCGATTGATGAAGAAACATTTGTTTGCCTGTAAATTGTTAACATTAGCATCTAAACCTTCCAGACGATTTACTCCAAAACTGATTTTTCCTGATCGATCTGAATGAACTTGAGGTTCTGATAGTTTCAAATAGATTTTTTTGATTTTGGTGTGTAATGTACTTGAAGCCTCACCAACATTTTTAAAATTTTCTCAAAAATGGCACCAAACTTTTTGCTTAAACTTTGTCCTTGCATAGCTTTGTCCTCTCATTTTTCTTGAAATTCCCAGTTTTTTGAAAATCACAAAATTTTTTGTCTTCCTACAACTACAATATTAAAAAGGGGTTTTCCTTCTTTAATGAAATCTGTTCTGTAAACACAGATCTTGAAATAAGGTCATGTACAATACCTCAGAAATATGAGTATTTTTGCCGCAAATTTTGACGAGAAGGACAATTTTAAAGATTTCCTTCGCAAAACTTGCTCCCAATTTTTCCCTCATATGAAGGAAAGAAAGGTAAAGAAAGTGGTGTTAGTCTCACTTTCGGCAATGTTTCTAAATCTTTTAATATCTTTCTACAATTATAATATTGAAGATGGACATTTTTCTTAATGAAATCTGCTTAATCTTGAAAGAAAATAAAGGGCAATTTTTAGAAAATATGAATAGTTTTTACATAATTGTATACGAATTAAGCAATTTTTCTCTCAAAAAGCCTCCAAATTGTTTCCTTGTACACAAAAAAGAGGCAGAGAAATCGCAGCTGGTCCCATTTACAGCACACACTTTGTATTTTCAAAAATTAAAACAATAAGTTAACATTAAATAAGTACAATTTTGATTATATTTTTTGTGAAAAGAAATCTGTTCTAAAACATCAGTTCTTAAAAAAAAGGTCATACACTTTTTTTTTCTTTTTAAGTATGAATAGTTTAGTGTGATTTTGCAAATTGAAATTACCCCCACACCTCATTTGCTTGCCTTTAGGATACATCAGATAGGAATGACAAAATGGAATTTCACATTGTGAGTGAGGAAGCAATTGGATATTCTCAAAATGCCTTGTCATTCCTGAATGTTAATTATTTTTTTTTAATAATTAATCCATTTACGGGAATATCACTTACAGAGGTTGTAGTAAGTAATGCACACATTAGAAAGAGATCAAGAGGGATATTCATCAGAAATTTTGTAGAAGAAAATAAATACAGTGAAATCCTTCTACACGAACGCTCTTCGTCCCGACCTCTTTTTTTCAGGACGAACTATTTTTCAATTAAGACCAATGCAGTGACCTATTTATGCCGACCACCCATTCCCAATCAATGACCTTTGATTCCTCTACATAATCACCCATTTTCCCTTTGAAGGCGACCATTTTTATCCAAGGTTTGAGAAAAAATTTTCAATGTCTGATCTAATTCTCTTCTAGCTGCAACTTGCGGTCTTAGTGGCAACCGACAATGATCTACATGGTTTCTCACACGGTCAGGTATACTGTCATTTCTACCCCTCCCTCTGGGTGTGCTATTCTTAGAATGGCATTGGTGGCAGGTTCGACAATTTTTCCTTTACTTTGCAATACAGTCTAGCGTTAAACATACTTTCGGAATGTAGTGTTGTCGCCAATTGAATACGGAGTGTAATAGGTAAGTCTGCAATTTTCATCTCATCCTGACAAATGGCAAAAAGCAATTGCAAAAAAAAAGAAACTCACAATCCTTTCTCTTGAGATTCACTTACCAGCAAAAAGGAAAAGTGGCAGCGGGAGTTAGCTAAGCTGTTTAATAGTGGTAGAAGTCAGATATAGACAATTCTAGCCAATCAGAAAAAAGTTGCTTAAAGATTGAGAAAAGAACATAGAAGAGATGTAGGCAATCTTACGAAAACATAGACAGGTTTCTTTTGGAATGTTTTAATTGCAGACATTCAAAGGGTTTCCCTATAAGGGGGCCAATGTGATCAGAAGAGGCTCTTTGAATCTTCAAACTTTAGCGCTAGCAATGGACATGACATTTCCGTGTCTGGAAATTGCGGGTTTCCAACAGCACCAAAGAACACATGCCATGTGACATATATAACATAGATGAAACAGGCATTCTATTTAATGTAATATCAAACAAAATGTTTGCAGTTAAAGTAGACAAAAATGGTAAATTAGCAAACCAAAGACTAACAATTGCTTTATTCACCAGTATGTGTTAGAAAAAGGAGCAACCTATTCTTGCCCGCACATCTGTGTCCTCAATGCTTCAAACATGACACTACGTTGAGAAAGATGTTCTTGCATGCCAACGAAAAAGCATGATTGATGTGTGAAATTTTTCGTAAATGAATGCACATACACAATAGGAAAATGCACCATGCAAACAGGAAGATTTTACTGTTTGTCGATAATGCTACAAGTCATTGCAGCGAAAAACCTTCAAATGTGGAAATGAAATTACTTCCGCAAAAAAATCTTGCTTGCCACTGCTGGATCAGGGAGTAAGGGATGTTCAAAACCTTGAATAGGAAGAAATTATTGAGGTTATTAGTTTCTAGCATGGATAATGTAACAACAGTTCATGAATAAGCAAAATCTACTACAGTTTCAGGTGAGGGAGTTTGATGTCTAAGCACACTTTACCCAACTGCTAGTTGGGGGAATAGTGCTTGGAATTAAGTGAAACCTGAAACAATCACAAATTATTTTATAAACTGCAGATTTTGGAAAGCTAATAACCATGAAGAAAGAGTATTTGACAGCAGTGTAGAAGTTATCGAGGACTTGACTGACGTTAGCAATATTGATGTTGACATTGATAGTATAGATGAAAGGGTTGACTGTTTGTGTGATAATAAAACTTGGGCCGATGAGTTTTTGGAAGTTAGCCCAGTCGATGACAATGAAAAATGTGACAAAGAAAGTGATAGGTTTCAAGTTGAATCATTATTATTACCTCTTGCACTCACCAGAATTGGAAGGCATAGGTTATTGACAAAATGAATTGAAAAATGATGAGTTAATGAATTTGTTGCGGGAGATTGGAAAAGAATATGAAAATATTATTGTGGCTGAAAATGTTAAGAATTTGGAACAGAAAACTATTTCAGATTTTATGCTCAACACAAAGAATAATGTTGAAGTATGTGCAATGGTTTTTGATAATATATTGCATGTTATTTGCAAATTATTATTAATAAACAAATAAATACATAGTACTTAGATAGAACTTATGTATTTATGTCAATGCCCAGAATGCAGACTTGATTAGGGAAACCCATTTATGATGATAACCCCTTAATATGACCTCCTTTAGGTGAAAATTTAGATGGTTGGCATAAAAGTCAAATCACATCAAACAACTTTCAGTTATATATTTAAGGCAATTTTTAAGAACTAGTGGAAGTTTGTAGGGTGCTGACAAAAAATAAAAACTTTGTCATAGATTTTGTTGGCTTCTTGTGATACGTCTGTTGCACAAATAATGTCTTGAAGCACAAATAATGTCCTGCTGCTTGTTATGTAGAATGGCTTGTGAAGTCTGTTCCTGCATTAAACAAAGTATGAGACAAGATATTTAATATTATTTGTGATGACAGAATGCAGAAAAATAAGGTCCTGAAACAATCTTCTCATATAAAATGTGGGAATGTTTAGTTGTATCCTGTATGTTCTCACAATTATGGTCAAGCTTAGACATAGGTGTGACATCAATATATGCAAGATGCTGCAGGAATCTCTTTTAATTGATCTTTTTCTATCAAGGTGGAAGATGAGTTCGTATGTGGTGTCCAGATTACAGTTGCATATTCCACGATAAACCTAACGAAGACAGAAAATAGCAGCTTGTGAGTCTCGATACTACGAAAGTTTTGAGCATCCTTCTGGGCCTATTGCAATTTAATTCTAAATGCCGGTTGAAATTTAAACATGCATCAAAGGTCACTCCATGGTGGACTATATTGTCAAGGATATGAAGGGAATGGTTGTTTATTTGTAAGGGTAAGGTATGGGATGTTTCTCTGTGGTGTATCTCATAATGTAGCACTTTTCAATGTTTAGCTGCATATTATCTGAGCACTACGTGAGTAGTAATGATAGGTTATAGCAGAAAGAAATGCAGTTTTATTTGTCAAATTAGTGTTGATATATTAGCTTCAAAAGAATTACTTTTTGCACCAAATGCTCTATGATTTGTAATGAGTTTTACCAGTAATGACAGATGTGTCAATACGGACAGGAATTATGCTATAATAATATTACATAACCATTACCAAGGGCAAGAAAGTACATGTTGTTTTAGCACCATTAGTTCTCAAAAGAATCTTCCTAGGAGACAAAAAATATTTTCTTCTAATATTTGGTGCACACAATATATGGTTATAATTGAGGTGCGAGTAATGAATACGTCTACCACAATCAATGCAAAAAATCATGTACATGGTTTGGTAAACATTACATGTCAGACTTAAATAAATAAATTAGCTAACCGGGAAATGCGATACATCCTAACAATACTTACTTGTTTGTCTGTCACCATAACTAATTGCTTCAGCAAGTGGACTCCAGCCAGCAAGATTTTTCACTTTCACTGGAGCACCATGCGCCAACAGAAGGTGAACACATTCTGGAATAAACATTGAAAAAATAATGAAAAATAATATTTTTAAATAACAATAAAACTAAGTTTAAATTTAAATGATCTCTACCTTTTCGTCCTAACATAACAGCCAAATGAAGAGGAGTATTGCCTGTAAAAATTAAAAAAAAACATGCTTAATTTATTTTAAAATGGCAACACATTATTAGATTAACATTTATAAACATTAATGCACTTTAGTTTGAGCATCCCAGAGCACATTCATTTCAGTTCCTGAAGTTCATTGGATGTTAATGTCATTCACAGCATCATTTTTTCCTCCAACATTCCTAGACTCTAGCCAGAACATCTTCATTTCTAAGAAATCAATTAAAAAAGTAGAAATTCCTTTTTGGTATTATAATGCTATTTTCAGTTTCCAAGCTAATAATGAACGTGATCCCACAAAATTAAATTTCAATAACTGTTCCCTTGTTAATATGTCATACATTCAAACATTTCCCCTAGATGGCTTTCTTTCTTTCTTTCTAAATTCAAGGGTCTAAGATGGATTCCCGGCAGAGGCAAGAGAAAACAAATTTCTCACGCTGTGAGTATTTTGTATTTTCCCCGTACAAAATGTTGTCTTCTACTTTACAATAATAAACTTCATTTTGAATCGTAGACAACACCTAAAACAATCACGAAAAAGCACCTTATCGAGAAAGAAGCACTTAAATTTCAATTACCCTTCATTAGCAATAAAGCAACTGCATACAAACTATATTTTATAAGTATTAAAACTAAGTAAAATTCATGTTTCCTTGAGACTGATATATTGCATGGGTATGGATGGTCAAAGTTGTCAATGGTATGAATTAGTAACTGCTTCAATGAGGATTTTTAATCTTAAATATAGGCACGACAATAGCTAGCAGTACAAAAAAAAAATTTTACAGCTAATCTGGAATAGCATATATAACATGTCACAAGTGAAATACATAAAAATGTACAAACATTTAGGTGTGATAAAAGACAATTGTAAACCTTTCAAAAACTTTTCATGTGTCACTTAAAAGATTGCAAGGAAAGTGATTATACTATGTAAATTAGTAAAGGAGTAACAGGAATGTGCAAGATGTCCCAAGAAGGAAAGAACACTTTGAGAAGATATAATGATACAACATGTATGCAATTGTTCCAGTGTTGTCCTTTTGGCTGAAAAGTAGGATACAGCAATGGTACATGTTACTTTTAACAAGGGATTAATAGCATTATTCAGCAAGCACTGTCAGGATAAATATGTTTAATGTTAACAGAGATGTTTTATCAACTCTTGAGAAAGAAATACAAAAAGGTGTTATGACTTTCATTTATAGTATGGAAAAAAGGTTACTTCCTAGTGACCATAATCTGACAAGAAGGAACAATCCAATAGAGCCAAGTCACAAGTTGGTTGAATGATCTATTGAAGGGCACTATTTTCTTGAGAGGTTATGTTTAATGTCATGCAGTATTTAATAATGAGGTTTAAAGACTGATGTTTAAATATAATTTAACAATGTTATACTTTGTCTTGTTAACTGTTTATTATTATAATAAAATTCAGTCAAGACTTTCCAACATAGTTAATAGATTAGCTTCTCACGATCTGAAACTATAAGTAAATGTACTTGTGGAGAATCAGAGTTTATCAAATTAGTTAGCTTATCTATTTAGAGTATTAAGTGATCAACACACTAAGCCCCTTAACAGATAATTAAAATATATTAGAATCTTTGATGATGCTACATTTTAAAAGCCTCCTCAATATTTACTCACAAAGCTGAGTGCCTTAAGAGGAAAATTCCCCCAGACCACTATGGACTAAATACACATATTTTCTCACCTATTTGTGGCAATGAGTTTTTTGAAATAATATTAAAACATACTTTGCAGATCATCTAAAATTATTACTTAAGGTTATATTTTATGTATAATAAAAGCATGGAATATAATTTCCAGAAGAAATAAAAGTAGAACAGAATCAAATTAGCAGTAACTGTTATTGTCATTTTAAAAACAATAAAAATGTTTGTTTCCCCATATATAAACACTAAAAGCATAGTGATTTTAAACTGAAAAGATGCAGAGGCATTAAAGCCCAAAATCCAATACCTAACCAACATATTACACCAATCACTATGTTTACATTTCAATTGAATGAACATTATGACATCATTAAAAACAAATTATTTATTTTATAGCTTAAGGACTTTTTACTACATATTCTTTGTATATGAAATCATATATGAAATTTTCAATATAATAACCCAAAATTTTAGTAATACACAATGATTCCTTAGTTTAACCAGCATTTGAATAAATATTACAAAGTTGAAGGGTCAAAATTGCAAAAATGGACGATTGATAAAATGTCAACAAAACTAAAGCTGGAATAACACTTCAACATGCACATGATTACATTAACAGTGCTATTGTCGTGACATGCTAGTACAGAAAAATTAAACAGTTCAACCATAACCTACAAGTATCTGAAAGATGCACACTGTCAATACAACAATCACAAACAAATCTCCAAAGAACCATTCGAAAATCGTAGTCCTAAGTGTTTCATACAAAAATGAAAATAATTAACTGAAGAATACACTCCCATTATTACCGTGTCACAATCACCTGAAACACAAATCTCATTAAAAATTAGTTGTATTCATATAGTTGCTCACCATGCTTGTCTTTTCTTCCCACATCATGAGATCTCAAAAGTGACGATAATTTTCTGACGTCCCCTTGAAACACTGCTTCATGCAACGGGTAACTATCATCATCAGAAGCCATTTTGTCATGCTCACACACTAAACAATTAATTTTGAGGTTTAATTCTCAAATCTCCATAACAACATTCGTACATGTACCAGCGGTAAAACGCCTGAATGGAGAAGTCGTGAAAGACCGCTTACAACGCACTCTGACGAGCGAAGGTTCACAACACTAGGAATAGCGGGAGGTGAGAAGAACGGATATCCAGACTTCGCACCAACCAGAGTATTCAAAGCCAATTTGACTGAAACGCCAACGTCGATAAAACACTCATTCAATCGAATCTATCTCGCAGTTCAAAGTATATTTCCCCTGATACGAGTGTATGCCACGTCATTTTCCGATAGTAAGTAATACAGATTAACTGGCGTGCTCGACAATCAAGACAGATTAAGTTACGTCAACAAATAGAGAACTTCATGATAAATGATAAATCAATAAATAATGATTCTCAATGGGAATGTCATAAATATAATACGCTGGGCCATACGTTCTCTACCGGCCTACGTATTTCCGTACCCGAGAAGTGAGGGGTTACTATTTCAGCAAAAATTCCCCTTGGGAGTATCTTTTGAAACGGGAAGGAGAATAAATTGGCACATTTTTTATTGGATTGTCGAGGATAAAACACTTAGTGTGTGTGAATGAAATGAGAATAATTAATTAATTCATTCATTCATTCATTTACTGCCCATTAACTTCAGTAGCAGCAAAGAAAGAATCTCCCTGAATTTACATTGAGGTGCCATCTATATTACCAGGTTTGGAGTTCTACTTACTATTATCCGTCAGTTCTATGGGTCATAACTGCAACCAACCTTCTTCGACTTGTACTGATATCAACACTGATATAAACCCAGTGGTACGATAACAACTCGTACACAATGCAAGCATTCAACATTCCATATTACACTTAACGCAGAAGGAATTGCCCGTTGCAATTATCTGTTGTTTTAGCTCTAGAACGCCCAGAGGCGTCATTTCGACTCCTGGCGAACTTTATGTCCTTGTAACTTCTTTGTTTTTGAAGATAGGATTTTGTAATTTTGTGACTTTTCATCATTTTCATTTATTTACAGTGTGTTAAAAATTGAAACGTTAAAAAATATATTTCATGAAAAATAATCGAATTTACGTACTAGAACGTCCAGGAAGCGTATTTTCTGCTCATTGCGTATTGTCCCCATCCTCAAACTTTTGATTCATATATTTCAACGTTGAAATTTTTTAAATGTCTCTTCTAGTCTTTCGGATACCTTATGAAGAAATATGTGACCATTTTTTCCTTGTTTTTTTTTTTTCTAGCACTCGTTCAATTTCAGTTCAATACATGCAAATTCACACATTGTTTCGTGACGGTAGCAATTACATCACTAAGTTTCGAAAATAAAATTGTATCAAATGAAGGAATAGCATTGTTATCACACAAACGTTGAATGAAAAAAAGATTTCTTCAAATTATTCAATAAAGCTTTTTATGTGTTCAGCAGGGCATTTCGGACTCTAGATTGTAATGGTGTGGCCATATATTCTTTGTTGTTTGAACACTGACTTGTTTCATGATTTTCGAAATAATAGGGGATTGTAATGAAATCAACGGGAAATTTCACTGCTTTTATATGAAAAATTATTCTGCTTTAGTATGAAGTGATACCTTTACAAACTATCAATATTATGCGTCAAAGGAATAGAATTGATATGCCAACATTTACCTTTCAAACTTGATGCATATAGCACACATGTATACAGCATATATAGTGAAAAACAGTAAAAAATTGTGACTTTTGGGAGATGATAACTAAATTGCTGTGTGTCGATGTTTTTACATACATTGGAAATATTGTAGAAGTTTTGTGAAAGACAAGAGGACACACCCGCAGTATGAAGCCATGAACCACGCATAAGGATACGAAACAGGTACTGATGGAACGTACAGTGAGTGTAAAAAGTATTCGTACACCAGTGCATTTTAGTATTGTAGTTATTATGCAGTAATTAACTTATAATCATTAGATAATTTCCATCACTGTATTAACCTAAGTGTACGGAAAAGTTAATACCAGAGTGGTATTCTGATTAAAATCTGAGGTGTTTCCCGCAACAATTTGCATTGAGTATGCAATCTGAAGATAATGTTTCTCTCTTCCAAAGACGTTTCCTTCACTTTACGACGCATTTCTTCATTTCATAAAATACAGACACCTGTCGAGTATCTATCAATTCAATGGCGTCTGCTGTATACCGTTACTGGGGTCACAAATTTCCCACGGGTCAGGCGTAGGGGAGCTAAAGCCGATGCAGTTGTCCTTGCTTTAAGAATACTGTTTGCGTCCCGAGATTTCACATTCAGGAAGTTCCAACAGCTCTATTTGCTTTGTACGCGTGTTTTTTCTTCTGTTATTGGTATTAATGTTTCCGTACACTTAGGTTAATACTATGATGGAATTATCTATTGATTATAAGTTAATTATTGCATAATACTTACAATGGTGTACGAATATTTTTACACACACTCTACGTAGTATTCTACAAAATATGCCCCAAAACTGTAGTCTATACTTCGCCACAGGCCGTGCAGTATGAACAGGTGCTCGATCGTGTTGAAGGATGCAATCGCCATCCCCGAATTGCTCTTCAACAGTGGGAAGCAAGAAGGTGTTTAAAACATGAACGTAGTCCTGTGCCGTGCTAGTGCCAGACAAAAAACATGGGGTGCAAGCCCCTCCATGAAAATCACGACCACACCATTGCTCCATTTTGGACATGTCCGGATTCTTTTGATCACATAATGTATTTATACTGTTTATGCCTAGTTAGCCCAGAAAAATTAAATTTGTTGTATAGAGAGATAGTATGGGAAGTGCATTGCAAGGGATTACATTTTTCGGTCACACGTTGAACTAGTATTATTTAAAATTAAATAAGTTATTTTTTTCTATTATGAATATTATTATTATTACAATATTGTTACTATATTAAAATTTACATTTCAACATAAACGTTTGCTCGTTTACTCACGGATTCCGTTCAACATGTTTCTTTAACTTAATTCTTTAATTTAAGTTGTGGCATAATACTTCTATAATACACCAAATGTTTGTTTTTAATAATGTTATAGTGACGTAGATAAAAAGTTTTCCAATATAACCTTTAAAGAAGTAACGTTGAAAGCTCGGAGTCGAAACGATTCCGCTGGGCGTTCTAGGGGGTATTGATAAGCCGGGCGTTCTATAAAGTGTTAGTCCTCATTCAGAGCAGATGGACTCTTCGAATTTTAACAGTCGAACGCCATATGCTTCTGCATTACAATTATCAACAAAGAATCTTTCTCTACGGAGCCAATAAGTTAAACAGGTTCTCGGGCTCGCATGTCTCGGGGCTCGGAGGGTCCGATGCACAGGGTGCTAATGGGCCCCAACTGCGATTGCTAATCGTAAAATCAGGAGTTTTAAATCAAATTTATCCAGGTACGTACGCATATTACTATAATTTATTTTTATCAAGAATATGAAATTATGTTTTTTTCATGATCAAGATTGGTATTTTCTACTGAGACAGATAGGTCGATTTCGCTAACGCATTTCGTACGAGTATTTCGTACAATTATTATAACAAAACAGTGAAATATAATGTATTACTTTACATTTGTATTGTATTGTAACGAGTACTGCATCACCTGCCGGATTCGCTGCGCGTGGATTGCGTCATCTGCCGGCACCCCTTCCCTCGCCCCCGAACTGGTCGGTTCCGGACTGTTCGCGAGTCGCGGGGAAAAGTGGAGAAAGTGCTGGTTGTGTCGAGACGAGCGCCAGGCAGGTATAAATTCGCCGCTGCCGGCGGCCGCGGGTCAATAAGTAGTCAATCAGTGTAAGTCAATTAGTAAGAAGTTAGTCTCTGTAAGTCAGTCAATGTAAGTCAGTGTAAATATGTCAGTGTAAGTCAGTCAGTCGGAAGTAAGCAGCCGGGAGTCAGTCAGTGTACGGAATCAGTAGTAAGCAGTCAGTCCGCTAGTGTGTCTGAAGTGGATGCTGTGCTGTAAAGTGTGCATTGCGGTGAACAGTGGTGCAGTGGACCCTGATCTGCGCAGTGGATGGTGGTCTGCGCTGTAAATTGTGGTCTGCGTAGGGAATCGTGGTCTGCGCAGGGAATTGTGGTCTGCGCTGGGAATTCTGGTGTGCGCAGGGAATTGTGGTCAGCGCAGTGGACCGTGGACAGTGCTTCGGACTGCGATAGTGTAGCAGAAGTGAACTGTGTAAATAAATAGCTAGAAGTAAACTGTGTAAATAAATAATCAAGAGAACGGAGTCGTGTGTAAATAATTCAGTGAAGATCACAAGGACTGTGTAATATGTGCGTAAATATATCAAGTATTTTCAGTGTATAATTGTTTACGAATAAACGTTTTTGTTTAAATACATGTGTGTGTTGGTTCACCACAGAGAAACGTTACAGTATTTTTTAAAAAAACTTAATATGTTTGTAACAAATTATGTACTTCAGCTTCCGGGTCAATGACCCCCATCACGATCAGGTGTTTGCCTGATCCATTGAGCAAATGCTAAGATAGCCCCATGTTTTGCTTCTGGACGTAATGTAGGTTCACTATGTGCACGTGAACTCTCCTTGAACTCTCCGTTTACTTGTTGTACTCCATTATCTCCTCTCTTTGAACTCTCCATTTACTTGTAATGGTAGAAGTAGAGTTTTGTTAGCAATGCCGAAAAATCATATCTGTAATTCTTTTACCATTGCAAATGTTTTCTGTAACTCTGGAACGAAAATGTCTTTTTTAAAATGTTACTAATCTCACGCTTTTAAAAATTTTATTTCTATTTATTTATGTTTTACCTTTTACTCATCTTTCAATTATTTATGGTACAAATGATGGGAAGGAATTCTTGAACTGAAGAAAACGTGATCTTCTCCCCCATATATCACATGTTTTACTGTGTTTGACTAAATAAATCTAAATCTAAATCTCTGTAACCGAAGTATAGAACTGAATTTATCTTGAACTAGTGAACTTGAACTACCA